AGAAGCAATGCTGGTAACTATAACCAACACAATGGTAGCAATACAGCAAACGCTTTTGGAGCTATTAATCAAACAAAGTTCTGCTTAGATGGTTTCCTTAAAAATATGTTTCTGTAATACGAATGGCATCTCACAGCACAAATACGAACTCTCACAGTTCCTAGATCAGTTTGACATTGACGCCATGCTGATATCAGAAACACACCTAACAAACAAAACTTTTTCAACTTCATGGATTTACATTTTATAAAACAAACCATCCTGATGGCAAGGCTCATGGCGGTACTGGAATACTGAACAAGAAACCCATCAGGCACTATGTGTTGCCATCATTTGCTACAGCCTGTATACAAGCTACATCAATACACATCGATACCAGAAAATGTACCTTAAACCTCTCAGCTATATACTGCCCACCACACTTTTCCAATTCCGAACATGAATTTGTACAGTTCTTCGACCTATTAGGTGACCGTTTTCTAGCGGCTGGTGATTTGAACGCAAAACGCAAAAGCTTGGTCTCCTAATAAAGAAGCCTGACTTGATCGAATTTGCCGTCACAAGCAGAGTGGCTAGAGAGCATGTCCACGTGGAAAACTTAACAGATCTGTCATCGGATCACTCGCCTATTTTACTTCATCTCTACGACCATCCACAAAATGCATACTTGCTCTAACCTCCCTTAAAACAGATTGGCTTAAATACAGAAAGTTTGTTAGTACCCATATTGATGGCTTCCCAAACATGTACCAAAAAGAAGAGATTGACAGCTCAGTTGAAGAGCTAGTGTCTGTTATCTCACTAGCTGCACATCACTCCACCCCTATTATACCGGCTTGTAATCCTGATAACAACTGGCGGGCTTCTGCGCATATTAACGAAGGCTTCGGAGGGAGTGGCAAGCCTATAGATCGCCTGCTACAAAGGAAAGGCTTAAAACAGCAATCTATATTCTACACAAAGGCTAAGAAGATGAATATAATCGATCTCAATTATCCTATCTGCAGCATCTTTCACCAAACAGCAAACGATATCCACTGTGGAAAACAAACAAAGATCTTTTCAGAGGCTGCCGTGCCTATCATATTCCAATCAAGAGAAGTGATAAAAGTTATAAGTGTTGAAGATAAATGTTTCTAATTCAAAATTACCCGCCAAGTCAGAGGGCCCTTGAAATATCATATCGATAGTACGATAGTATTGAATCATAAACACATAACTAATCATAACCTAAAAAGCTGTTAAAGAGGGTGAATAAACACGCGGTTGAGTTTTCAATAAATATTGTTCATTTACTGGCCTAAATAACAAATAAATAAAAGTTATAATAGGTTATGGGCCCAGGAACGTTTTGTTCAGTTTAAAGTAAAAAAAAGGGACATTTTTCTCGATTACGATGGATTTGGCGAAGCACGTCACGAAGCTCTCAGGTGCGACCGATTGGCCGATTTGGAAAAGAAAAATTAGGGACCTGATAGATTATCACGACGGTGCTCTCGACGCGTTGGACGGAAAGATCGTCAAACCGGATCCATTGCCAGAAGGCGCCTCAACAGAAGATGCAAAGAAGCACAAGGAGAAGAGCGACTTTTTTCGTAAGGCCAATAGCTATGCAAAATCCATGATTACCACTGCGGTCACGGACTCGGTGTACCAGAAGATCATGGACAAGGATACAGCACACGATACGTGGGAAGCTCTGAAAAATCAGTTTGAAGCAACAGCGAAGGACCAGGTATTCAGGATATGCAACGAGTTTTTCGCTTTCTCTTTGAATCCAGGTAACAATGTATCAACCCACATAGCAAAATTGCGTAGTCTATGGAACGATTTAAATCAAGCTTTGAAGGCTAAAAATGAAACTGAGCTGCCAGATTTAATACTTGTTTGTAAAACGCTACATATTTTGCCAAAAACCTTTGAAACGTTCCGTCAAAGTTGGATGCTCTTGACAAAAGAAGAAGAAAAGACTTTCGACGAGTTAACTAATCAAATTGTCATGTTTGAGAGAAATTTTAGAACAAAAGAAAATGACGAAAAGGAAAGCCAGGAGGCTTTTTCTACCATACCAAAAAAGGAGCATCGTCAGGATTCAGGAGCATATAGTCGGCGATTAGATACCTGCCGCTATTGCAAGAAAAAGGGACACTGGATCAGGAACTGCATAAAATGGAAGAAGGATGGACGTCCGAAGCCGAGCTACCAGAATGAACAAGGAAATTGTGCAGAACCAACGTTAACTCTCGTCTCAGTCCACAATAGCGTGTTTGCAGCAGAGGCAAACTCAGAGGTCGACTGGTGGATAGACAACGGTGCAACAAAGCACGTTGTGAAGACTGCGAAGTATTTCGAGCATTTTGAGAAGTTTGAGAATCCGAGTTGGATCAGAGCAGCTGGAAATGAAACCTTGTCAGCTTTGGGCCAGGGCACAATCAAAGTCAAAACGATTGTCAATGGAAAAATTCTTTTTCTTTCTTTGAAAAATGTATGGTTTGTTCCCAATATAATGAAGAACCTGTTTTCAGTTTTGGCTGCCCAAGACAATAATCCAAGTAGTCGTTTTGAGTCGTCAGCAACCGAGTGCACCCTCAAAATAAACGACAAGATTGTCCTCGTTGGAGCCAGAGAAGTTGGAGGAACACTCTACAGAGCAGCGATCGAGCCCATACTTCCAGAACGAAACGTCGATGTCAACGTCGCAACTTCAGGAACTTCAATTCTCCAACTCTACCACGAGAGGTGGGGACATCAGGACAAGAATCACATCAAGGACATGCTCAAAAGAGAAATGGGCATTCAAATCAAGATTGAGAGTAGCTTTTGCGAGCCTTGCATCCTTGGAAAGGCACATCGATTGCCATTTGGAACGAGGAAACCAGCGATGAAGCCAGGGGAACTGATGTCAGGCGATTTTTGCGGCCCATTTATTTGGATCATTTCACCAGGTTTCGATACGGGTACATCGTCAAGCAGAAGTCAGAGGTCAAGGACGTGCTGCGACACATGGTTTCTCACGCCGAGCAACAAAAGCACACAATTCGGGAATTCCTGAGCGACAATGGAGGAGAATTCGACTGTGCAGGAGTAAGAGAAACTCTTCAGGAAGCTGGTATAACTTTTCGACTCACCGCTTCCTATACTCCAGAACAAAACGGTGGTGTCGAGAGAGAGAATCGAACGATAGTCGAAATGGCAAGAACTTTCAAGTATTCTAATACAGAAATAAAATTTCCAGAAGCAATTTGGGCCGAGTTGGTCAGCACAGCAGTCTACGTTCTCAATAGGACGGGCAAATCTTCATTGAAGGGTTTGAGCCCTTACCAACTTTGGCTGGGCAAGAAACCAAGAATCAAACACCTTCGAATTGTAGGATCGACGTGCTATGTTCACATTCCATGCCAAAAAAAAAAAGATGGACGAAAAAGCTGAAAAGGGGTACCTGGTGGGTTACGACGGGGTGAGAGAAATTCTTATTTCTCACGAAGGAAAAAAGGTAGTCAGGGGGAAGGGAAAATAAAAAAGAAAATTAAAAAATTTGAAACACGACCCACTTTTATTTTTTAATTTAAAAAAGGGGAAAAAAAAAAGAAGAAAGAAAAAGAGGAGCCCCCAAAGGGGAAAAAAAAGGGGAAAAAAAAAAAAAAAAAAACAAAAAAAAAAAAAAAAAAAAAAAAAAAAAAAAAAAAAAAAAAAAAAAAAAAAAAAAAAAAAAAAAAAGGGAGATGAATGAAAAAAAAAGAAAAAAAAAAAGAAAAGACTGGTAGACGGGGAGAGAATTGTTTCTTACCGGAGAAAAAAAAGTGTGGTGGGGAAAGAAAAAAAAAAAAAAAAAAATAATAAAAAAGAACCCACCTTTCAAAATTTTAAAAACAAAAAAGATAAAAAAAAAAAAGGAAAAAAAAAGAAGGACCGGAAAAAAGAGGAAGAAAACCCCAAAAAAAAAAAAAAAAAAAAAAAAAACACAACAAAAAAAAGAAAAAAAAGAAAAAAAAAAAAAAAAAAAAAAAAAAAAAAAAAAAAAAAAAATAAAGGGGGTTAAGGGAAAATTAGAAGATGAAGAAACCGGAAAATAAAAAAAAAAAACAGATTCCTTCCATGAAGCCATCAACAGCAACGTCGAGTGGAAAAAGGCAATGGACAGGGGAAATTGATTCCTTACATCAGAATGAAACTTGGGACTTGACAAGACTCCCCAGAAGATCGAAAGTACTTCCGTGCAAGTGGGTCTATCGAGTCAAAACCCACAACGACGGAAGTATCGACAAATACAAAGATCGCTTGGTCATCAAAGGATTCGCCCAGAGACGAGGGATTGATTACGACCAAACTTTTAGCTCTGTCGCAAGAATGGAAACAATCCGCTCAGTGTTGAGCGTTGCAGCCAAAAATAATATGTTTTTGGTCCAGTTTGACGTCTCGACAGCTTTTCTATCACGACGTCTCGACAGCTTTTCTTTTCAACTTTCAAGTATTCTAATACAGAAATAAAATTTCCAGAAGCAATTTGGGCCGAGTTGGTCAGCACAGCAGTCTACGTTCTCAATAGGACGGGCCAATCTTCATTGAAGGGTTTGAGCCCTTACCAACTTTGGCTGGGCAAGAATCCAAGAATCAAACACCTTCGAATTGTAGGATCGACGTGCTATGTTCACATTCCATGCCAAAAAAGAAAAAAGATGGACGAAAAAGCTGAAAAGGGGTACCTGGTGGGTTACGACGGCGATGAGAGATATCGTATTTACTTACCAGAGAAGCACAAAGTAGTCGTGTCGAGGGACGTAAAATTTCAAGAGAAATTCAGCAATTGTGAACCAGGCGTCGACCTACATTTTCAAGATTTTGAATCCAAGGACGTCGTAGAAAATAAGGAAGAAGAAGACGTGAGCTTGCACCAGAGCGAGGACGAAGACACACTTCAGGAGCAAGACTTGAAAGAAGACACAGCCGAAACAGGAAGCGAAAGCAGTTACGAAAGCAGTTAAGAAAACAACAAGAGAAAAATGCAATCAATGCGGTTGAGGGATCGTTCGAAGTTGAAGAGACCGGAGCATCTGGATGACTACGTAGCAGCAGCCGGGAATTTTGTGCTGGAGAGTCCAGATTCCTTCCATGAAGCCATCAACAGCAACGTCGAGTGGAAAAAGGCAATGGACAGGGAAATTGATTCCTTACATCAGAATGAAACTTGGGACTTGACAAGACTCCCCAGAAGATCGAAAGTACTTCCGTGCAAGTGGGTCTATCGAGTCAAAACCCACAACGACGGAAGTATCGACAAATACAAAGATCGCTTGGTCATCAAAGGATTCGCCCAGAGACGAGGGATTGATTACGACCAAACTTTTAGCTCTGTCGCAAGAATGGAAACAATCCGCTCAGTATTGAGCGTTGCAGCCAAAAATAATATGTTTTTGGTCCAGTTTGACGTCTCGACAGCTTTTCTATACGGTGAATTGGACGACTAGGAGATTTACATGCAACAACCTGAGGGATACGAGCAAGGACAGGGGCTTGTTTGCAGATTGAAGAAGAGTCTCTACAGGCTTAAGCAAGGGCCGAGATGTTGGCAAGAACGCTTCGGAGGTTTCCTGCGGAAACACAATTTCAAAGTCAGCGAGGCAGATCCATGTCTCTACATCAGGGAAAGAAATGGCAAAAAGATTCTACTCGTTGTTTACGTAGATGACGGACTCTCCGCAGCAACAGATTCGCAAGATTTGGAAGAATTTTTGGACGAGCTAAAATCAGAGTTCAAAATTGTTTCAAGCAAGGCTGAGTGCTTCTTGGGACATGAAATCAAGAAACAAGAAAATGGACTAAAAATAAGTCAACAAGGGTATGCCACAAGGATTTTGGAGCGATTCAGATTCACGGATTGCAAAGCTGTTTCAACCCCACTTCTCAAGAATTTGGAAATTACGACAGCAGGGAAAGAATCAGAGACGACTGCCTCATGCTTGGAACTAGGCCAGACTTGGCTTTCAGCATCGGATTTCTTTCAAGAACGCTTGAAAATCCTGCAAAAGAAAACATTGTTCAAGTGAAGAGGGTTTTCCGTTACATTTGCGGTACAATCAACGTTGGGATAGTCCATCGGAAACAAAAGAAGGGAATCCTCGAATGCTACAGCGACGCTGACTTTGGTGGCTGTACTAAGACCGGAAGATCTACATCAGGGATCTTCATCATGTTTGCTTCAGGAGCCATATCATGGAAAAGTCAAAGGCAGGCTATGGTGGCCATTTCTACTACTGAGGCTGAGATCGTAGCAGCAAATGAAGCTGCAAAAGAAATAATTTGGCTAAAGAGATTGTTCCAGGAAATCGACAGATTGGACCGAGCCCCGATTCTCCAGGTCGATAATGCTGCTGCCATGAGACTGGCCCCGAATTCCATCGCAGGACCAAGCACATAGCCAACAAGCATTTCTTTATCAGGGGAAAGAATTGCTGAGGGAAAATTTGGGATCGAACAAATCCCGACTGAGGAACAACTCGCTGATATGATGACGAAGCTGATCCTCAATACTCGTCTCCGGATTCTTTGCAACAGGATTGGACTCTTCTGAAGGAGAAAAAACACCATTTATTTTTACTTTATATAGTCATGAGTCATAAGTTTAGAATTTTGAATTCTCACAAGGGAAAGTGTTGAAGATAAATGTTTCTAATTCAAATTTACCCGCCAAGTCAGAGGGCCCTTAAAATATCATATCGATAGTACGATAGTATTGAATCATAAACAAATAACTAATCATAACCTAAAAAGCTGTTGAAGAGGGTGAATAAACACGCGGTTGAGTTTTCAATAAATATTGTTTATTTACTGGCCTAAATAACAAATAAATAAAAGTTATAATAATAAGGACTTAAGTAAAAAATGAAGCGCCAGGACATGATTTAATCTCCCCTAAAATGAATGTAGAATTGCCGAACTGTGCAGTAAATCTTCTTACCACGATATTTAACAGCATGATGAAATTAGGCTATTATCCGCAGCATTGGAAAAAGTCTGTCATCACTGTATGAAATGTTTATATGGCAGGATCACCATGAAATATATATCAAATTTGTTGTACTTGGTTTATTCTTTATTTCAGGGAGCAGCAGTGGTGCCGCTCCAAGGCTTGAATTGATTATGTCTTTACAATATTCTTATAAGTCTAATTAAGGCTAAGTCTCGTTGCTGCGCTGGCAGGCGGCGCAGGCGGCGGCAGAGAGATGGCTATCTATGTACTTATGTATATAAGCAAGTTAACACTCCTTAGGGGTATCAAACAGTCGGTAGAAATCTTGGGTGATTCTTGGATCACCCTAGTCTTTCTAGATGCCGACTCAGCATACCCGCCTTTGGTGGCCGTGCCTGGATCCCATTGGTTCCCGGTATGGTGAGTTATGCTCAGTTTGCGATCGTCAGCATTTCCCACTGTCATGTGGTCGGGCTGCCGACTAAGCACTCTACTGCTAAGTTCCTCAGTTCTGTTTTATAATCATTTGAATAAAGAGCATTTAGCTCCGTCTTATTATTTGCATTTGCCCACTGAGCTTAAGGCCAAGGGTATAGGGGGGCAGTCACCCTCTCGACATAAACTTTATTTTACACTTCATCAACCCTACCGGTGGCACACCATCAGCGGCTACCAATTCTCACCTATCTTGAACCGCTACTACTCATCAATCACCCTACCGGTTGCCCCCTCATCATCGGCCGGATCTGGAACAGCCTTACCACCAGGCAACCGACTAAAAGATAACTAACATATGCCCTCTTATGTGAGGAGCACGAGGGGTAAGCACATGCGGTCCGTTCATGCAATTATGCCGACGCTAGCACTTTCTGCGAGTGGCCTAAGCCATAGCGATCGGTTCATATTTCGGCCAGTTGGGGTTTATGACCGGTACCATGAATTATGTAAACACTGCAACAAAGTGTTACAGTGCGTACCCTTTAAGAACTCGGTACAGTGGGTATTCAATATTAGTGCATACTACATTTCCCTACTTTTGAAAAATAACGTAATATTATGAAGTTATTTTAATAATAATATTTAGTTAGTAAAAAATTGTGTGTGTAACTATGCATGGCCATACTAAGTACAATTTATGAAATAAAGATTTTTAATCTATCTTTATGAACTGTTTGTTTCTTATTTTTATTATTTGTTATTACTATGTTATCTCTATTTCCTATTTCCGTTACTTTATACGGACCTATATATTTAGGATCTAACTTATGACCTTTCTCGTTTTTAAGTAAAACTTGATCGCGTACTGATATACCTATATCTCTTACTTTCTGATCATATAGTAGTTTATTTCTATTCTTATTTGCTTCTAACATAACTCTAGCTCTTTTATAAGCTACCTCTAATCTATATTTACTCTCCTTAGCATAGTCATCTATATTATATATTGTTTCTACGCTATCTATGCTATTAAAGTGTTTCGGTAAATTACTTGTTTTACCAAATACTAGCTCATATGGACAATAAATATGTGCCATAGAGGGGGTCGTGTTGAAACAAAAGACAAAATATTGAAGCCATACGTCCCAATCAGTTTTATCAGCCGATATGTAAGATCGTATGTACTCATTAAAATGTATGACTTCTCTTTTGTTCCAACTGTCTGGTGGTGGTGTGATGTAGATGTTATTGTTTTCAAATATTTGCATAAGTCATTTATAATTGAATTTTTGTATTCTGTTCCCATGTCCGTAATGAACGTCTTCATGGGACCGTACTTCAGAATAAATGATTCGAAAATTGCTTTAGCGACAGTATTTGTGTTTTTATTTGCAACTGTTATGGCAACTTGATATTTTGTTAAATCACATATTAACGTGACTACATATTCAATGCAATTTTCCGATTTTGGTAGTGGACCAACAGTGTCCACTATTACTCTGTCGAAAGCGTTTATTGGTGTATCAGTTATTGTTAAAGGAGTCTTTGTAAGCGATGTAATTTTTGACTTCTGACATTTATGACATTTCCTTACGTACTCAGTTATATCTTTAGACATACCTTTCCAGTAATAGTGTCTTCTTACTTTGTAAGTAAGTAATATTCCTGCCATGTTTAAATAAACATAACATATCTTTTACATGCAATGCCACTACTTTACGTACTTCGTCATTGTTTATGACCGCGTATACGTTGGGCCTAGAAGCTTTTTCAATAGTTTGCTTAGGCAATTCTATTTCTTTATTTGCATCCGTTATTATGCAAAACTCTTTGCTGAAATCTGGGTATTATAATAAGTTCGGTTTTATTAATGCCGATTTAAGATGTTCGAAGGCATTCTGGTAATGAATTGTCCATTCGAATTTAACATTTTTTTTACATAATATTGTTGTGTGACGAGAATATTCGGCAAAATTTTATTTTTTATTTTATTTTTATTTTATTTTTTTTTTTATTTTATGAAACGTCTATAACAACAATTTTGGTAATTTGGCCGAAGCGAACGGACGTGTTTTTTTCTACTCTCGTTAACTTTGTTGGCTATTTACGAATATACGCTTAAACCGATACGAATTTCTTTGTATAAATAAAACCTTCAGCCGTTTGCCTTCCGCGCAGTGAACTAAACTGTGTAGCTTTTGTTTCTTTTGTTTAAACTCTCAATTTACTTAAATTATTTTCACATTCTCCTATTTCTCGTCTTTCGCGATAAACGGTTCCTCTCCCGCTCGCGTCTCTCTCGTGTTGTTTATCTATACCTTATCTTGATTTCAATCTACTCCCCCGCTCCCTCACACCTTTCATAGTGTGCACATCTAAAACTTATCTTGTTTTTATTCTTCTTTTTCTGTTCTCGCACAGTGGGCTTTTATCGATTAAATAGTGCTTAAAAATAAAAATTATAAATCATTATGTCTGAAATTGTCTGCTACTTAAAATCTTGTAACAAAATAATTACAACTAACCAGCCAAGCGTTTTGTGTTGGCTTTGTGATAATATGGTTCATGCCAAATGTGCCAATTTCCGTGCCACCGTATCGGATGTTTTGGCCCGAGGCGATTCCGGCTTACATTACATTACATTTGCTGTGAAAGTTGTCGGGGGACTCAAAGGGAAATGAGATCTTTTATGCGGCAGACAAAAACTGGTTTTCGTGAGGTGCTCGGCGCTTTTCGTAAAGCCAACGATTTGCTCACGGCGCTGGACACCCAATTTAATAATGTCCAATTGTTAAATGAGTCTCCAAAGCGTAAAAAATCAAACTCTTGTGTGCCGCAGATCACTAGTTCCCTTCTCGCTCCCACTTCTTACCTTCAGAATACTGAAGTGTCGCCGCAGCTGTTTGGAACGCCTTTGGCCAACACTCCGGTGAGTACGAAAAATTCGGCATCCGAATTTTCTGGACATGATGGTAGGAAATCGTTAGATAGCTTGTCTGCTTCAAGGCTCCTGGCTCCTACAGAGCCAACCTCCATTAACATCAACCCACCCGATACACT